GTGGCTAGTTTTGGTTAACTTTATGTCCCTGCAAAGAGGGCTTGAAGTGTTCCACTTCAGCATAAGATTTTTTTTTTTTTTTTTCTCTCCAGTGGGAGTGGTTGAACACTTGAACAGTTTGCCCAGAAAGGCTGCAGAGTCTCCAGTCTTCATCCTTAGAAGCATTCAGCACCTGACAGGACAAGGCCCTGAACAATTTGCTCTAGCTGACCCTGCTTTGAGCCAGGAGGTTGGACTAGACAACCTCAAGGAAGATCTCCTCTCAACCTTCCAACTTCTGTGATTCTGTGTTTCTACGAAAAACTGCTCTAACACTGGAAGAACCAGCACAAGCAGTCGAAGCAAAGGTACTGCACTGCTCCAAGATTCCAAACACATTTAGCTGTTTGCTCAAAAGCCTGCAGGACTCCAAACTATGCAGAAAAAGCCGCTCTACTTTGCAGGTCTTAAGACCAGGTGATCTTTTCTTGATGTGCTACATGGTCTCAAGAGGAGCTGGCAGGAGGAGCTGGCTGGAGACTTCAGCAGAACAGAAGCCATCAGATCCAGAATCTGCAGCCACTCTGAGAGCTCTGTGGCCTGGCCTCACGGTCTCCCTCAGCCTCTTCACAGTAGCTTTATTATTTATGTGCTCCTCTTTGGCCTGGCTTTCTTTTCCCATTCTTTCTTCTCTCTTGCTATTTAATTGATTTTCTCCTAAGCATCCGTCCACTCCCCCCTATGATAAAGCCCAACTACCACCACCACATTTGCAAGCCTCCCACTGTTCACCCGCAACTAAGTACCACCCCGACCCTGTCTCCAGTTTCTTGTCTGTTGAGACTATTTGTTGAGGCAGGATGATCCTGTTTGTAAAGTCTATTGCCAAACAAGATCCATTCCTGACCTATTATCATAAATTTCTGACCTTTCATGATAAATTGGAGATAAATGCACCTTCATAGTAAGTTAATGAAGGTATGAGTGTCATGACACATCAGATAAAGTTTTTCCACATGAACAAGGAAGAGTTAAGCTGCGTACGCTAGATTTTTGCCCCAGGCTATGTTAAATGGTTTCAAACAAAGCATGTTACATTGTACTGCATTTCAGTGTGTGCCAGCGGAGATGTTTTTACAAAAATCACACATATGGGTACAATTATCAATGCTCTCTGGTGTTAGCAATCCTGGCTTGCACTGAACACAATAGGCCTTTGTTTGAAACCTGGCACTGCACAGAGAGAGGTGGAGCTCAGCACCAGAGGAAGCCTTGTCAGCAGATGCACAGACTTGCACAACACACAAGTTCCCCATGGTTTTAACGCTCATGTTGCATCCACAAATTAATGGGGACTTAGAGGTTGGAAATACTCTCTGGAATCAACTAGAGGAGGACCACTGCTGATAATAACTATGCTAACCATCAGTGGGATCCAGCTGGCACAGCTGTTACTTAGAGCTGTATCACTATACCTTATCATCACAGAGTGAGTCCAGAGAAGGTGGATCAAGTGTTATCACTGTGATTCAGGGCCTAGGAGCCTCTCAGTGAGATGTTGCTCACATCCCACACCAAACCAAAACTCTGGTTCTAAATATTCTGGTTCTAAATATTCATACAGGCTGAGATGATAGGGTTTTCAAATAGTACTTATTCTGATTCCCATTAAACTGGCACAGAGCCTCACATGGATTTTAATGGCACTCTCTTCCCCAACGTGCATAACAGAAGCACAGCAGGTTTTCCTCGACTTTTACCCAAGCAAAGGTCTCAGATGAAGGACTCTGCAGACTGCATCCTCTCTTTAGTGAGCTGCTGCTTCCCAGTACTACCCCTTCCCCAGAAAAAGCAGAGGTGGCCCTTCTGCCTCCAAGGCTCACTTAATGTTTGACATCTCTTCTGACATTGCCAGTAAAGGATGTTCCTTCTGAACAATCCCTTTTTCCCTTTTTACAGCATGGGTCCTGGCTTATAAAGACCTGAGGAGAGACACCCCAATATATTACAATAGTCACCAAGTCATAGCTGAACAATAGAAAAAATAACTATCGGATGAAGACAGCTTTAAGCTAGCAAGTCCTTACCTTACCTTTAGCCTTACCTTCTCAGAAGTCTGCGGAGGTTAAAATTAAAAAGGCTTCTGGGACTACTAAGCAGCCTATGGAGGCTACTTTATCTCCAAAAGTTAACGGGATCTCCAAAAGAAAACAAATTCTTGGAAGGGGAGGGAAAAAAAAAAAAGAAACCCAAAAAATCTTGAGGGCTAGTAAACAAAGACTTTCTTGCTAGGCTGCTCTTGAGCTGAAAGCAAGGCTATTATTAGGGGAGGTATGACTATGCAGTTCTTATACTTTTCTCTAGTGGCCAAGATACCAGGCAAAATGGAGTTTTGACCTGATCTAGTATGGTTGTCCATTATAGTCTTAAAATTGACATATTAATTCCAGCCCAGGTCAGAACTTACCTGCGTGGAGCCTAGGAACGGAAGTAATATCCAGTTTCCAGTCCCTTTCCAGAAACTACTGTGGAGTTAGACAGATGGTAGGTGCCATTTCCTACAAAGTTGTGCTGTCTTAATCTGCACAGGAACAAGCAAGCTCTCTGGTGTCCATTACCATTCTCCAGTAGTAGCTTTCACAGAATCACAGAATGGTTCAGGTTGGAAGGGACCTCTGGAGATCATCTAGTCCAACCTCCCTGCTCAAGCAGGGTCACCTAGAGCATATTGCCCAGGATCGCATCCAGGCGGGTTTTGAATCTCTCTCCAGGGAAGGAGACTCCACAAGCTCTCTGGGCAACCTGTTCCAGTGCTCTGTCACCCTCACAGTCAAGAAGTTTTTCCTCAGGTTCAGACGGAACTTCCTGTGGTTCAGGTTATGCTCATTGCCTCCTTTCCTATCGCTGGGCTCCACTCTTGTTCTGTCGCTGGGCGCCACGGAGAGGAGTCGGGCCCCAGCCCCTTGACACCCTCCCTTCACATACTTGTACACACTGATGAGATCGCCTCTCAGTCTTCTCTTCTCCAGGCT